GTTAAATCATCTGACCTTTTGGTTGTTGCGATTGTAACTTACTTACAGATCCCTTCACTATTCATGAATGTCACATATAAGTTACAAGAAAAAATTTAAAGGCATGATTAGGATTAGTGTAGTGCACATAATAGCAAAGGAGCCAGGTTTCAGCTTGACTGATATTTTCCATTAAAAGGTGAGTCTGAGAGTTAATTGACAACTTATGTGCTCACAGAACTGCTGGACCATGAAAACAAGGAACCTAAAAGGTGCCCTGCACTCCTGATGCATATGTACAATTTGAGTCTAGACACAGAACATGTGGCATTCCAGAAAGTAAGCCGTCTTTATCAATGATCATATAAAAGAAAAAAAATCCAAAGTTTCCATAATGATTTTTATAAAGATACCCTGGGAGGTTCATGCTGGTTCAATTTCCTGGACTTTACATCAGGCCAATAACAGGTCACACATGATAAAATATTCAATTTAGGACTGCTTTTCTTGTGTACAAAATGATACATGTTTATTATAAATAATCCCAAACGAACTCTTCAATGCATTAGCAACTTTTGAAAAAATAATGGAGTTTGCCCTGCATGGTTGTTGATGATGATGTGTTTGTATTCAGCACTACTTTTGAGACTACAGCTAGGAACGTGCTTTTGGTGTTCCATTGCATATAAGAAGCTGGATACAGGTAGTTGAGTCGGTAATAGTAAAATGATTTAAAATATGCAACTCAATTATTCACACAGCAACAGCCGATATAAAATTGAGGTGAAATGGCTTGTATCCGATCTACATTTTAACATTGTCTAGCATTTTGTTGGTAGTATAACGACTCCGAAAATTGATTGCATTTGGGAAGGGTATTTAGCAGCCCTTTCTGATGCAAAAGATTCGTATACTCAGCTCATATAGATGTGTTAAAATTGGGGATTTCGTTTTCAAGATGGGGATATCCCCTATGTTTAATAGAACTGGAAAACAAAGTAATGTTGATCAAATTGGAGTACCAATACAATCCAGAATGGCACCTACCAGAAGTTGTACCCAGCCATTATAAACTAAATGTGGCATCTTGTAACAAGTGAGAATTCATGAACACAAAAGTCAGTGACAAAAAAAAACTACCATCTACACCTCCCAGGCAAAAGTATGCAACATAATAAAGAAGGATCTTCATGTGCAAAAACATTACAGCATATCTATTTAACCACTGCATAGCTCAAACAGCTGGAGAAAGAGATGAATACTCATGATATCCCATACAAAGATATGCTGGTAAAGTAACTGGATACAGTGCTTATGAATTTCTGTGTTATTGGATTGTATAACAGGAAGTTAGAAAATGTCATCCTTATACACTAGATGGATTATGGAATCATGCAGGGGTAATGCTATGCTTTGGACATTATAGCTTTAAATTGGAGCCTTCTACAATGGAAACCACACTGTAGAGCTATTGACAAGTTGCATGATTATCAGATATAGTATGACCAGACATTACAATATGAACTGTAATGACGTTGTGAGGCTCCAACATCATTTTAGTATAACATACTCAACCTCTGTAGAAATGTAGGTCCAGAAAATGTGCATTGATGTGAACTTAGGTAGAAATATTTGGTCCCATTATTGTTAGAGATAATATTAACAGGGACTGAGAAGTTCACAGCCATTCAGAGCTTGAATCAGTAACTAGCCAAAAAGTAAATGAATATATTCTTTGGATTTGCCTCCTATTATCAGCATTCCATACTTAACCTCTCAACATCATTAACTGCACTGACAAGGAGAAAAGTATGTTCAATGGAATAATTACTGTTAGAATGTGAACTGCCAACTAAAGTATGTTTTAGTCAAAGTATTATTGCTAAATTATCCAAGACAGGACTGCATGTTCTTTCTTGCCTCTAATGCACTGATACTTGGTACTGAAGTTGTATGTATGAATTTGTAAGTTGATGAGGGGCATATTTTGGCTGCCAATAAGATGTTCAAGAATGCATATCTTTCCAATTCCACAATCGATGCAAAAGGCATGCAGGCAAGCCATGTCTGCCATAGCTTCAGCCATATAAAACAAAAGGAGCTTACTATTTTCCAATAAATATTGTCAGAAAGAAGGGTGGTATGTCAAGGTTCTGTGTGGACTTATAGCAAGTGAAGAGAATGACATGAACTGATGAATTTCTATTGTTTTGATAGATAAACGTTTGGACATGCTAGAATATGTCTTTTAGTTCCGGACATCAGGCTGGCTTTCCGAGATTGGCAAGTTGAATTACACAAGCACACCTTTATGTAGCTTGTACAAGTGTTTTATCATGTCATTCAGCCTTTGTAATGCACCTGCCATGTGGGTTATGAAACTTACACTGAGAGGAATGCAATTGTAGAGATATCTCATATATATGGACAGTAATTTGATGTTTAGCCATACATTTCCATGTTTTGCTAAAAGTTGAGGAATAGATTTTCAACAGATGAGTAAAGCAGGCTAGATTGAGATTGAAACCTGGATTATGTGTATTTGTTTACTCTCAGGTGGAATCCTAGACATGTGCTCAAAAACGTGAGACGGAGATCTTAAAGTTCCCATAAACGAGACGAAAGCTGTATCTTTGACTCACCAATATAACAGGTTTTTGTAATCTGTAAGTTCTATTATTTTTTCATGCTTTTGAACACGTGTTTAAGAACAATCATTCTTTTGAGTCTTCTAAAGTACAAAATCCTCAGCAGAGAAAATAATATTAACAGAAGAAATATAAAATAATCCCTGTTAATAAAAAACAAAACAAAATCCTATTCTTAACAAGTACAAAGGTGTTCATTTATATCTGTTTTAATCGCACTTTTTCTCTTGTATATAGAAAAAATTTAAATACTTAGGCTCAGTTTTTAAAGCTTTATTTCATTATTTGACACTTCTTTAATAAATACTTTATTATGTTTGTAATTATTGAATTACGTGTTTTGTATATTGGTATTGTTATAGATACTCATGTGATTCTCTTATTTTAAGTTAAATTATATTTGTTTTAGTTCTTGTTTCCCACATCACCATGCCAGGTAAACCTGGTGAAACGTTGTGAACAAAATATACAAAAATTTTACTCTGTATAACCGATAAAATCTTGTGTAAAATTTAAAAAACAGAGTTCTTTCTAATACTTAATCTGAAAGATAACGTTTTTACTCTGGTGACCTTTTCAACAGATTTTAAGGTGTGATGCACAACATTGGCTTAGGTAAAAAATCTAAATCACATTAATAAAGTAACAATACTGGAGGGTTGAAATGATATTTTAAAGTTCCACAACTGAGTTTCAAAACTATGTTTGGGCATTAGAGCTACGGAACTTCGATATTATATTTATTTTGTAGTAGGTCGTTTATTTCAGTCAGCAGAGTTTACCCAGTGTATTTACCTACCAAAAATTAAATATTTCAATTACTTAATTATTTTTATTTTGTAAAGTATATTATTATATCAAAGAGAATATAGAGTTAGCGTATAAGCAGTCATAGTTGACGTTAGCCTTTAGTTCATTCTAATAATTGTATAACTATTTCGAGATGAGCTTATATAATAAATTTGATTATTGTACTTAAAGGCACCTACAATTAAGTATTGCAATAAACATATAGCTCATCCTGAGTTATGTGATTCTTTATAATAAGGATATACCTAATCCTGAGTTGTGTGATTCTTTATAATAATCTTATTCCTAACATTAAATTATACGACTCATTATAGGAAATTTATTTCTAATTGGGAATTATGCTATCCAGTATAACAAGTGTATAACTAAACATGAATTATGTTATCCAGTATAACAAGTATATAACTAAACATGAATTATATTATTCATTATAACAACTATATAACTAAACCTGAATTATTCTATTGATTATAACAAGTATATAACTAAACCTGAATTGTGCGATTCATTTCTAAGAGCAATGTTAAATATCAGACGAACTTATCAAAATCGAATCTATCATTTATCATCTATTTAAGATAAATTACTGTTAATAGTTAAAGCCGCTTGAAGTTTACCTTTTTATCGTTGGAAATCTATTTTTGCCTTCAGCTTAGCATATCATGGTTTATTATAGGGTCGTTCTCTCATTTATTCATTGGTAAATAATCTTTACATTACTGTTTTTTGTTTTATTTTCTCATTTGTTATTTTTTCAGTGAAACTGAACCACATTCATTATCCTTACACGTTTTTTCTAGCGATTCCTTTACTTTCCCATTGACTATCCGACTTATTCATTCAGTCATCTGTCTATATCTATTATTGTTTATTGACCAACCTGCTGACAATCCTGGTTCAATAAATATTTACCTTCGACTCTCCTTTCCTCTTCATTCTGCCTTCTGCTGACTACTCTTGCTCTCTTATAATTATAAATTTTCTGATGGAATCATTTAGACCCCCCCCCCCCTCTGAACGTCACGCAATTTTCTGTTATTTCGTTGGATGGCATGATTCATTAATTCAGATTTTTTGCTAACAATTGTGTTTAAAAATTCAGATATTTACCGACATTACGGACTCACTCATTTGCTTACCTATTGATCATTCTGACTTAATTATTCAATTCTCTATTAAACGTCCTAGAAACAACTAACTGTTACCGATTTTATGATTGAATCAAATTGATGTATCGACAAATTTATCCCTTTTTTGTATGTTTTTGCTGTTGTCGCCGACATTCGATCTCTTCATTTTTATTTATCTTTAGTTTTTTGTTTGCTCTTTATCACGAGTAGGTGTTTCTTATCGTTAGGAAACGAAAAATAATAATATAAGTATTCTGTAGTCTTCTTAATCGAATAACAAATAAGGAGAATATAAACGCAGTGACATAGAAAACAAGACGAACGCCAGCCTCAGGGTAAATAAAGACTGCATCACCTTGTTAGCAACAGTTTGGAGTCCTAGCAGTAGAATGCAGGCGAGTTGGCAAGTTACCGAGACAACATATCGATTGGAAGGTCTTTCTACTATGCAAGTGGAAAGGGGAAGCCGGAGCATGGCACATATAACAACTCTTCTTATCGAGCTAGAAAGTGGTGGATGTACTGAAAGTGTGTCCACTGGTCAAACCTGTATTCCAAAGAAGAACAGGTACTAAAATCTATTGTTTTATAGGAACAACGTTTTGATAATATCCTCGGAAAAAGCATTAGTTACTTCTTTTCCTGTTCACACATCTTGGATTGCCACCTAACACACATTGAAGTGCTACGCTGACGAGGCTTGAGCGACGTGCCGTAGCTTGGAGTATTTAGTTTACAAATAACAGTCTACGACCATCAAGTACAGTGTAAGACGCTCTTTAAGTCTTTTCTGTTAGATTTGTTTGGTAAATCATTTTACAGTTTGTTTATTTTTTCAAATATAAAGATAGGTGGTCAGCAGGCAAACTAAAACTGTTTTATGGTTATATTTCTGTATATACAAATAAGCAACTGTTCAGAAAACACAAACATGTTTTAGATAGTTGTACTAGAAGTAGAACTAGTGTAGGTGTTGGGCAAGACTCGTACTCGGAGTTGATTTTAAAGTTATATAGCAGAAAGTTAAAGCTCGTTTTTAAAGTCCACGAGAGGAAGTATATTTGATAAATAATATTCATTCTCGAGGTTGTATGAAATAAAGAAATGAGTGGCGAACAAGACTTTTTGTTAGAGTTGTTTTAGAAGCAGTTATTGAGACTCATTCACAGAGCTGTGACACGGAAAGATATACATAAAACGTGGGTGAAAATGTGAAAATACAATTCTAAACGCAGAAACAAAATTCCTGGGAAATTCGATAACATCACTGTTGATGTAAGAAATACAAAACAAACTAATTAGAAAATAATGAAGGCTATAAATTCAAAAAATCTCAAAGTGTGGAATAAAGACATATATCTAAGAAGGACCATACTAAATTTATATTAATAAATCATTATGAACATTATAGAGTATCTTTTATTGTTTATTTGTCATTAAGCATAAAGTTGCACAATAAGTGGTCCAACAAAAGAAGTATTTTTCATGTATTTTGAAGTCTTCTAGAATAACGAAATGTCGATGGATAGTTCGGATACAGGTCTCGAAATATGGAAATATTAATTGTTTGTTTGTTTGAAGTTAAGCACAAAGCTACACAATGGACTATTTGTGCTCTGCCCACCACTGGTATCGAAACCCGGTTTCTAGCGTTGTAAGTCCTCAGATATGCAGCTGTGCCACTAGGGGCGGAAATATTAATCATAGATGGTGTTTATAATGTTAATTGAGAGGTTCATCATTCTTCTGCTTTTACACAGAGTGTTTTTAACTTCAGTCTTCATAAAATTACAGCTTTCTTGAAATTCATGAAAGTATTTTCTGAAATACTATACAAAGGAACAGAAACATTTAGAAATCAGTCATCATTTCAAATAATTCCCTCTTCAAACTGCTTATAATTACTCCTCGACTTAAGTCTTGCATTGTTTTTTCTCTCTTTCTGCTAATAAAAAGGTGAATACATACACACGCTTTTATACAGTCTTGTCATTTATGAACCTCTCGAATTGCACTACAGCGAAGCTACAACGTGAAACATTTTCCTGTTCATCAAAATACTCACGTAGTTCATCATCATCCAGCGATAGCGTCACAGGTTAAATAAATTGTTGGAGAACGAATGACAAGATCCTGTTCTAAGTTTGTCAGGCTCAGTTACAAGCATTTTCTGACATCTAGAATAACCATACCAAATCTTTAAATGTCAATTTGTACATACCAAGTTTTCTTACTGTTTCACATTATCGAAATATTAAAATATATATATAATTTTATAGCTGTGTGTATCAACTTATAACCCAGTAACTTAAAGTGTAATTTGGAAATTAAGAATAGTGTAATATAACAGGTCTAAAAGAGATAATTAAATTACTACATATACTTAAATACATATAATATAGGAACAAGTAGAAATATATAAGCACAAGTGTATAAAAGTCCTTGTTTTGACAAAACCATTAAATGTAGTTTATGCAATGTACATGCAGTCATCGTTAAGGCAAAAATCAAGCTAAAAGAAGACCATGCTTTCGAGTCATGTTCTGCGCTTCATTTTGATGAAAACGTTCTCAAATATAACCCTCAGTTTAAGATTGTATTAAAGACGGAGGGGACTATAAATATAACTAGTGGAATATCAATCACGTTTTCTCTTATAATTATATATTTTAGATATTTGTTTCACTTGGCACGACAACCTCAGGTGAGCATCAGTTGTGATGTACTAGTTCAGTCGTATGAATTAGTCAACTATTACTAATATCTGCTTGATATAAGTATGTATAAGTTAAAATAGTTTCGTTTTTGTTACATTGTTTTAGCGCAAAGCTACACAATAAGCTACCTGTACTTTTTCCACCACAGGGAACCGAACTCCGGATTTTAGCGTTATTAGATTTTCGAATGAAAATTTATTCTCTAAACTAAGCATATATAATAAAGCTCAGCATGATTAAAACATTTTGTTTTACGTGGTACACAAAACAATACACGTTTGCTAGAAGAAAACATCAAAATGTGCTCACCCATAAAAACTAAATCATTGAAGATCGAGGATTTATTTTATATCAGGTTCCTTGCAGATTCTTACATTTTAAATTTTTTTATTTTAATTTCACAAAAAATATATAATTTTTATGTCATTTTGAGTAACTGAGTGAACAAAAATGTTTATAACGGCGCTCCTTTTTCTGTATATTGATAACTTCATATAATATTTTTGCTAAAGTTATGATTCTCTATCTTTATAGCCAACTTAAAATTATGAAGTGCAAGGCATGTCCGAGTGGTTATTGTGCTACACTGTGAATTTGAAGGTAATGGCTCGCAGACCATTGCCAGAAAATCGCGCTAAGCACTTTGAAACCGAGGGTGCATTATAAGTGTGACGGTCAAATCCCACTTTTCAATTAGAGTAGTCCAAGAGTTGGCGGTGGATGCTATTAATTAGCCATCTTCCCTCTATTTTAGCAATTCAAAATTAGCTCTGCTTGAACATCTGAAACAGACAAACAAATATCTTGAAATGTTTTATATGCACAAAATGTTTATACCATGGTAACTGTTATGAAGAATGCTCGTTGTTTGAATACTCCACAGCTAAAATTATTTGTGTGGTTAAACTTTTTAATAGTATTTAAAAACAAAAGTACACCATGATCCACAATATTACACAATGAAAAGCTATTGTAGAAAACAAAACAGACTCATTGTGATTCAAATAATTGGACTTTTGAATAAAAGCAAGGAATTCAGTATGGGTCAAGTAATTTTACGAACGAAGAAGAATGTCTTCACTATAGTATACGTAACTAGAACAGTTGTAAAAGGGTTACTTAACTGGAAAAGTACTAAAATTCCAGTTACTTAACTAGAAAAGTAGTAAAAGGGTTATTTAACTGGAAAGTAGTAAAAGGGTTATTTAACTGGAAAGTAGTAAAAGGGTTACCTAACTGTAAAAGTAGTAAAAGGGTTACTTAACTGTAAAAGTAGTAAAAGGGTTCAGTAAGATTCAAATATTTGTAGAAGGTAATGGACAAGAAGGGATTCGCTGTAACTCAAGTAACAGTACAAATTAATTACAGGAGTGTAATTCAGTATGGTTGAAATAATTATAGAAATTATAAAATACTGAAAGAGTTGAACATGACTTTAAAAAGTAATTAAGAATGATTCAACAATCTAAACACTTGTGCGTATTTAAAAAAACGTTTTAAGTAGGGATAAAGTAGCTTTGTATGATAATTAAAAATTAGTGACCAAGTTTAATCAAAATAATTGTCAAAAGTAATAAAGTAAAGGATTTAGTATAATTTAATTAAATATAAACGCAACACGAAAACATAGAGGAAATATGACCAAAATACTTGCACAAAGTAATTGCAAAAAAATAATTAAATATGAAGCAAACATGTGTAAAAACAAATGAAATTGAAATGTCCCCCAATGGGACAGGGGTAAACTTATAGAATTACAACGCTAAAATCGCTGTGGCTACAGCAAGTAGACTAATTTGACTTTGCTCTAAAATAAACCAGAAAAAGATTTAATTTGACCTAAATAGCTAAAAGAATTAAACATAAGAAAAAATTTAGTGTGATTATTCTAACTGTACGAAATGATCATAAAAATGGCAATCCATATAAGAGTAAAAAACGTGATGAATTAGGAATTCTGTCTGATCTAAATAAATTTACAAGCTAACCAAATAGTAAGATTCAGCAGGATCCAAATAACTAATATAAGAAAGTAAAAAAGAAAGGATTCACTGTAACCCTGATAATTTAGCAAAGTAGATTAAAAGAGGTACTTTAGTATGATACAAATAATTATATGAATTATTTAAGAAATATATGATTGACCCGAATAACTGTATTAAGTTGATTATTCTGCTGTCGATGACAGTTTTCAATGTGTGAATATTGACAATGAATTCAACTAATTTATTGTTTTTGATGACAGTAACAATGTTATAAAAAAACAATGTTGATAACCATTATTATGAGTTAACCATAGAATTACCGATGAGTTTCATTCATCAGCTTTTTTAAATGTTTTTTTTTCAAAAATATTTATACTATAAATTACCCGTGGACACATGACTTTGCTGGTTACAGAACCCTAATAAGATATGGGTCACACACAAAAATATAATCAGAGCTGAACTTATTTCACTAAATATTGGTCCCCTATGTACTTAGCGAGTGATTTCCGCAGTGTTTTTAACATTTCTTTATAGTGAACGTTCAAATAAACAAAAACATAAAATTACTCAAAACTAGCAGAGAACCCCATAACTTTTGCAATTATTTTTCAAATAATTACCTTTATTGCAAAAGTACTTCTTTAAATACAGGATTTCTAGAATAATACAAAATAATACTGTTACGTTTCTGGTCGTTAGTTAATTTTCCGTAAAAATTCTTTCCGAAGAAACTTTACCGATACAAGTCCTGTCTTAAATAAAACTGGTTTATTCTTTCTGAATACAACTTTGCAATACACTTAATTTCCACAGTCGCCTATAACAAACGCTGTAATCCACAACCAACGTCTCACGTGCTCGACTCAACTGTCCGTATCTATCTCTATCTGCAGTTCAATTACACATTACGTTACATTACAATGTTGCCGTCACTTCTTACCGGTCTTATATATACAAGAATACCGCATATCTAGTAACCTCTCGAGACTACAGGAAGGGACGTGAACGTTCGAGAATAGGACGTGTAACTAGCGTCACGTGACCCCCGCTGTCGTAACAATATTAATCGCAGACACCAAAATCTCTAAGTTCACTTTTCTTAGGCCTAGCATTGGTTAACCATTTATTAAATATGGCCTGCATATGATAAAAGAGATACATTTACACTATAACTTGTGGACGTTTTCTTCTTTAGTTTAGTTAGTGTAAACTTTACCGTACTAAATACTATCAATAAATAAAGTTATAATGTTATTCTACGACCTAACGTTAGACCTTTATAAAAAATTTGATAAAATTGTAATACGTTATTGTACAAAATGTCTAATAAAGTATATTAACATCCGCCTTTTGTTTACATCCGTTGAAATGAAGTGCATACGCATTTAGATAGTAAGGTGTGTACAAATTTCAGGACAGACAAAAACTGAGTATTGTTATTCAATGTTATACAATATGTGTAGGCCAATAAACGAAGCTGCTCTCGATGTTGACACTTCTTGTTCTTTATTATGCTGTTGATAGTGATGACTTTTTTTGGTAATTATTTTGATAGTCGTGATAAGTATTTTTAATTGGTAAATTATTTTATTACGTGATATCATTTTATGACTGTTGAGAAACAATTTTATAAGAGGTTTTCAAAATAATTCCTTCAGCAGACATAACGACAACAGAGTCTACTTTGTGATAAAGTCATTAATTACAAGGAAGCAGATTTAAGCAGTACAAAATCTGTGTTGTCATGGAAATAGTTTTCTTTTATTATATTCCCTGTGGTGAACAGAGTGCAGATAGTCTATTGTGTAAGATTGCGATAAAACTAGCAAAACCTTTTATTATTTTATAGATGATTTAGAAAAAGTATCCATGATGAACAAACAAAGGTGAAATGTGTAGCAACTGCCTGGTTCAGAGTGCACATACGAGAGGTAAATTGTGTTGGATTTTCTTTTTTCTTGTGTTCTGTTTCACTTGGTAGCTTAATGTTCTTCATGCTATTAGTGATGAAACTAGAAGGGTATCCGTTTTGTTTAAAACACCATAATGTGTCGGCGTTCGGTTTTGATGGTGTTTTCATCGTAGGCGTTTCCAACTCTGTTATTCAAGCAAGGAATAATTCTATATTTATCAGAAGGTGGATGGTAAGACTGAAGTTCTTAATTCCTTTCACGATGAGATGGTTTTCGGTGAACGATTATAATGACTTTGTCATTCTGTCAGCTGATGAAAATGTCAAGGAACTGTAGGCTGTAATCATTCTCAGTGTTACAGAGCACTCAAATCTATCACTGTCAAGGACAATTTGCAAAAAACCCAGAAAAACGTCATTTATGAAATACATTGTTGCTGTAAACAGATCTACACTGGAGAAACTGAAAGGCATTCTGGGGCAAAAATAAAGAACATAAAGACTACGCAAAATTGATGAAAACAACATACATTTCTTTCCTGCACAAAATGCCATGTTGTTGGGACATAAAATAAAGTAAGAAAATTACAGACACATGGACTCAGATAAATTCAGGAGAACAAGAAACATTAAATAGAGACTCAAGCCTGGAAATCAGCATCTTGTAGTCAAATCATCAGTTGTTTCACCATCAAGCCTTATTAATTCACTGGCATTTAAAATACGTTTAATGATAACATTCTTCTTCCATTTCAGCTTCACAGTTTAGGTACTTGTCAGGTAGAACATTTGTTGTCCAAACAGTGAAAGTGGTCTTTTCTCGGGGTACTCCCGTTTTCTTCCCACCACAAATTCTTGGATATTGGATCCTTCGATTTTTTATTTTATTTTATCTATTTATTTATTTCCTATCTAATTAACTAATGTATTCTCTTACTTAATCTTCTTTTTTATTCTATTTTATAATTTTTTGAAGAGAGTCTACTTAGAGTTAACTAACAGTGAAGATACAACACCAAACACACAATTCACACATCACGATGGCGCTCGGGCTTATTCGGCTTTCTTCCTCTCTTCCTATGGAGCGGATGTCTCGATGAAGCAAAAATCAAGCCAGTCAAAAATTAAGTATTAATAATTTTTTTTCTCCCATGTATTATTTATAATAGTTCATTAAACCACGAATAGGGCGAAGAGAGATCGATCGATTTTTGAACACACCTGTCTTTTCTAAACTTAAGTACTTAACATGGAATGGTGATGATCATGAGTGCAAGTTGACTAGGGTGAAGAGGGGCAGCTCATCTCTGACCACCCGTGGAGTACCCTTTCACAATATCTGCCACGGATAAACAAACAAGTGCAAGCTGACCTGAACACTTAAGACGATAGGCTTTCGAAATGTCGTCAATTTTACCTAAGCTACTTTTTGATATTAGTCCTACAAATTTTCCTCTACCAGAGTCACTCCGAATTAGGCACTTTCAGATCCTTTCAACATTCTCTGTGCAATTTCCTTCTGTTTTGATGTTGTAAGACTAACGCTAACGTTCGACGTGTCACTGGCATATACTCTTCAAAGAAAACTACAGAAGAAATTTCAGATAAGATATTCTTAAATCTTTTGTATGTAAATATAAAATTGAAAGCATGTTATAGTAGTTGTCCTAAGAGTAACAATTTAATTTTGTGTTTTACTTCGAATAGAAAACCTGTTTCTGTTATGCGTGAAGTAATAAGGTGATTTATAACGCAAGAGAACTTAATAAAAATGGATACAGAGAGATTCTTGTCAAGTTTTCAAACTCTGGCGTATGTCGCTCCTTCTGCAATAATTGTGAAATATGAACACACAACTTTTCATAACTGAAAAGAAAAATATATTCAATGTTAAGGATTGACATTTATGCTGAGGATGAACAAGAGCCCTACAACTTAGACTTTATAATACAGTTATTCAAAATTACTATGTATCCAATCCTGGATCTAGAAAGGGTTGTGACAGTGCATATCAAGATTCATGCGCTGTATGATGAAACAGTATGATAAAGTTTAATATAAGGCTTTTAAGGTTTGTATGATAAATAACAGAGTCTATACTTCAGTCTGAACATTTTAAGATATAGAATGAAGAATGCTATATTTTAAGTTTGCACGATAGGTATACTCCAGTCTGAACATTATAAGATATAGAATGAAGAATACTATATTTTAAGTTTGCACGATAGGTATACTCCAGTCTAGGCATTATAAGATATAGAATGAAGAATGCTATATTTTAAGTTTGCACGATAGGTATACTCCAGTCTGAACATTATAAGATATAAAATGAAGAATGCTATATTTTAAGTTTGCACGATAGGTATACTCCAGTCTGAACATTATAAGATATAAAATGAAGAATGCTATATTTTAAGTTTGCACTATAGGTATACTCCAGTCTAGGCATTATAAGAGCTGAATTAAACGAAGATGTGTTTAAAATTTTCATGATTTATAATGAAAACGCTTCCTATAACCCATCGTGGACATTATACTTGTTAGAATGGTAAATGCTACTTGTTGAAGTGTGTTAGCATACGAACAAAAATTATCTTATACTCCTCTCTGAAATTCTAATGATGAGAGATCAATAAATGGTTAAACTGGTATGATGTAAGATAGTCTAATATATGTGGTTTCTCCATTATATAGATTGGAGTCAACCCCAATCACAGCTTTATTGACAAAAGTTTAAAAGGAATTCCACCTCAGTTTTTAAATAATATAAATAAAACTGGATTTGGTTAATAAATTTTTGATAGATAATTTATGCTTTATTAGCGTTTATTAAACTAGATATTTTTGTTGCTTTTAGAAATTTCTGTAAAACAATTAATTTATTTTGGTATAATAAAAACATCAAGCTTCCTAGTTCCTAGTAAGTGCCTGAACAGGTTTTCTTCTGACACCGAATATCTGAGGGTCTCAATATACAAGTGGTTGTTAATGCAATGACAAAATGGTATACAAATATCATTTTTAACGAAGTCGACAAACAACTTTAGATTAACGTTTATTTATTCCACCCGACATATTCTTTAGGGTTACTGTAATTTAAAATCAGTTTTATAACTTGTGAAGTTCATAGACCCTTGAAAAAGGCATAAGTCGAAACGTCCGGTAGAATAAATAAACAATTATTTGAAGTTTGTCGTTTTCACCGGAAGTGGTTCCATTCTTCTGTCAGCACTGAAAGTTTTTAAAAAATGATTAAAAAAATGGTATATCAATGAGAAATCAGAAACGCTTTTCCTACAAAGTTTCGCAGTAAGATATATTATTATGCATAAAATAATAAACAAATTACAAGCAACGTTAAAATCGATACACATGTAAAAACATTTTTAAAATGTGGACTACATGTTTCGACGTTTATCACGTCATCATCAGAAGTGAACTTACAAAACGTAAGGGCCCGGCATGGCCAGGTGGTTAGGACGCTCGATTCGCAATCTGAGGGTCGCGGGTTCGTCAAACATGCTCGCCCTTTCAGCCGTGGAGCGTTATAATTTGACGGCCAATCCCATTATTCGTTGGTAAAAGAGTAGCCTAAGAATTGGCGGTGGGTGGTGATGATTAGCTGCCTTTCCTCTAGTCTTACACTGTTAAATTAGGAACGGCTAGCGCAGATAGCCCTCGTGTACCTTTGCGCGAAATTCAAAAACAAACAAACAAAACATAAGCTTCATATTTATTTCTTCTTAGCTAGGTCATGTGACCTTATCCAGTAATAAATGTAAATATTGCTCGAGAAATCGCAACAAAGATGTAATATTTGTTTACATTTCTGACCTTTACAAGCTGAGCTTTTTGGGAAGAGCAAGACCTTCAATAATTTGTTTTGTTAGTAGTAATTAATGGACATAAATTAATTATATTAACTAACCTACGAAATTCAGTTAGTAAATTTAATTGTCTAAAAATACAAGAATAATCGTTAAGAATAACAGGTTGAGTGAACAGATAACATTGTTCATAAACGTGTTATTTATAGTTAGTCTAGTATAGTAATTATGTACTATATTATTATCTAGTAAGAAAGCCGATTGCTGTTATCTAAGTTTTCTGGTTACTGTTTCTTTTTAACTTTGTACCATAACCTGGAGTGCCATTTATTACTTGTTGATAAGTAATTATAGCTGCTATTCTTTATTTCTATACAAAGTGCAAGTTATTTATGCAAGAAACCTGGGGAAAAAGTTCTAGCTGGATGCTATATTTAAACTTTATTTTAAAATATAGACAAAACAATGTTTACATTATACAAAAACTTGAAAAAAAATAGGAATGATCACATGTTTCAGTAGCTTCCGCTACCATTATAAAGGTTGATAAATTAGAAAAAATTAATTAACTAAAAAAATCTGTAGTAGCACCCTCAATACTACATTTATTCTTTACGTTTTACTCCTATCTAATTCTATCAGTTAATACTTTTTCAGGCTAATGTGGTTAAGAAGTAGTTGTTGATGTTAAGGATTTGGTTTGTTTGGAAATTCGCACAAAGTTACACGAGGGCTATCTGCTCTAGCCGTTCCTAATTTAGCAGTGTAAGACTAAAGGGAAGGCATCCCACCCACTGCCAACTCTTGGGCTACACTTTTACCAACGAATAGTGGGATTGACCGGTACATTATAACACCTCCACGGCGAGCATGTTTGGTGGGATGGGGATCCGAACCCGCGACCCACAGATTGCGAGTCGAGTGATCTAACCTCCTGGCCGCCTTTGAAATGAGTTGCCTGTCGTTAAATTTAAGAGAGTGTTATAGAATGCTCGATAATTATTTAAATAATCAGGAACAGATATGAATTTTTTAAATTCAGATGGGATAGATCAACAAGCCACATATTTTGTTAATATTTTATATTATGTTGTTTTTGTTGGTTTTAGCAGAAAACTACTCATTAGGCTATCTGAGCTGTTTTCACCGCTGTGATGGAATTCCGAATTCTATCGTTATAAACCTGAAGCTTACTGCTGGGCTCCAAGTAACGTTTAGTTATAAACCTGAATTTCATCGCTGAGCCTCCGAGTAACTTTGAGTTATAAACCTGAAGCGAGAAATGTCACCTAAATATTTGCTTGAATATCTTACTTACTGTTTTATTTTATATTTTTAAATGTATTTTTCTTAAATTATTCATTCATTTTTTAAAAAAATTATTTTGAGGAAAATCATAATGTGCAGTTGATTTTTAGCAAGATATGTAATTTATCGTTCGTATTTATGTAATTTATTAGAAAGTTGATCTGATAATTTTAACTTCATGCTATGACTCGAATTACTCGAGATTACCTACTCAAGTGAAATTCATTCTTAAACAATTTTCTTATATTTTCACCGAGGTTCTCCAGTTCCCAACGTTATGTGGATATTCATTTAGAATAAAAATCAACGATATAAGACCAGGGCAACATTAAGGTTACACTTGCTTGTCGTGTGACAGTTCATTTGTTGCCGGAAACATGCTTTGTACAAACGGAAATATCGATCTCTATGACGTCAGGTGCCTTTCGTTTGCCTCACAAACAGTACAAATGATTGTTATGAACCACAGTTGATGCCTGTTTAAGCGAGGCAAGCATTAAGGAGGAGGAGGGAGTTAAGCCATTCATTGTTTAGAAAACGATATATTATCCTGAACAACAGAAAATATATATGCTAATATTTGAATAGAATAATTACAGCACGTTATTTTATCAAACAAATTCTGATCAAGATCTAGTTCTTTAGAGTCTAGAATGATAAACTATGTTTCTTAGAAAATCTCTCAGGAACATAAAGCTTCTTTTTTCCTTGTTCATTACAATGATTCTAAAATTATCAACGTTTTAGATTAAGGACGCTTTTTATAGAAACTTTCGAGTTCAGGAACTTAGTAGCATATCAGTGTTGTTTTTGATAAGTTATACTTGGTATTTACAACTAACTCTCGTGCAGGTCCAGCATCGAAAATCCAGTAACGTGCAGAGGATCTTTGACAAAAAAGAGCACTTTCCAAGCATCGTAAGATAAGACTTTTTTTAGGGGGCAGTATTAGCGGAGACAGTGGGCACTGCGGGTTGCCTCTAGTACATATAGGATAGAAAGAAAGTTATGAAAAGCAAACATACCCTCTTTTATTCCTATTCAATCGATCTTGTAAACACTTTTAAAATCTAAAACTAAACAGTGATTTCTTAAGTATGAACAGTTTATAGCATACCACCTTTATTTTACTGTAAAAACCCAAAAGTCTCTCTGTATTATTCATTTTAAAGCTGATATCTTTTTTTTCCTAGATATCAGCAAGCAAGGTGTGGAATCAGGTGTGTCTTTTAGTAGTTGTGGACATTTTTTATGACAAAGAAAAAGTGAACTTTTGAGCCATAAGGGAAGGAAGACGGAGGAAATCACAGAGGAATGAATGTTTGACGAAGTAATTTTCATAACGCCAACATTGCATATGCTTCCATGATTTAATATAAAAGTAAGATTTGTTTCTTTACTCGTGTAACATCTACTTTGAATACACTATATAAACCTTAGAATTAATTTCTACATACTTATAATGAGACGTTCAAACACAAATGACTGATGTAGACATTCTCCGTATAATACAGAGGTTGATTGCAC